GGGACTAATTGTGTGTCTAAGCCTTCATAGGACTGGAGACTTAGCTGGTTATGTTAAAAGCATGTAAGAAGTACGGAGCCATATATTTTGACAGTTAAAATATTTTGCTTCTTGACTGGCAGTCCGAAGTTTAAAGTCTAGTATATCGCCTTTGGATATTTGGGGATGGCATTTAAAGTTGCTGTGTAGAGCATGTTGTTTTGAGAGGGGTTTTTTGGGGAGGTGGGTGGGTGTTGGTTTTGTTTTGATATTTTCTTTCTTTTTCTTTTTAATTTACTAGTATCCAGACACCTGCCTGTAACTATTTAATAAAAACCAAGTAAGTTGTTATATTCACTGGTTGTGTTTTACTGAAAGTGCTCCGCTGACCTACATGGCAGAGATGATGACACCTTAACTATAACTCCAGACCTAAAAGCAGCTCTGTGTGGGCACGCACACCACACGTACAGGTATAAATGGAGCCACTGGCAAAGTTTTAACAATTTCATGGCCTTTATATTCTCATACATGCTACTAATATTTCTAGATGTGTAGAAAATCTGAATTTCAAACAAACCAACAAAAGGCAAAAACCAGACTGCCTTCAATTATTTGGTTGACATGTTAACAGTGGCCTTTAAGAGAAGAAATGCAATTTTTATGTGGATGTTAAAGGGCACTGTCAACTTCAGTTGGATTCAGAAATCTTCGATAGTAATAAAAATGTTTTCACAATTTCAAAAAAAAAATAAACAAGTTTTGAAATACAAATAATTCCCAGGCACTTCTGAAATGAAAATGTATAAACCTAAAGATCCCAATAAAATAAAAGTGAACAGATTTCACTGTTCGAATGAAAACAGTGAAAAGAAAGAAGGGGTTATTACATTTTTCATTGATTCAGGATGTTCTAAATCAACAGGTAAATACAAGTTTTAAATACCATAGTCTGTAAAAGCAGGTTAAAAAAAGTCTGTTTGTGAAATATCCAATATAATTTGAAATTATCTAGAAAGAATATTTAGGAGTCTGTTCCTCTCCACCCGGACCCGCTTGCATTTTATTATAGGCATTTGACAGCATTTTCTTGTAGCTAGATCAGTGACTGCTTCCTAGTTGCATGGATTTTTCTCACCCAGCATGAAAAATGAAAAGATTTTAAAAGAGTTTAAAAAGTTAAGATGATTATAAAACTACAAAAACTGGTAAGGAAACAAAGTCAGTGTTAATAATATAAAAGATTTTGTAAAAAAACCCCGGTTGGCTGGGTTTTAAGTTGACAGCATCCTTGTAATCCTTTCCTACCAAGAATCTGATTCTTGCTTGCAAACTGTCTGTCACCAGAAATGCAGATATTCATTTTTAATTCCCAGAAATTGAAACATAAGCCTTAATCTAGACACTCGCAGGTTTACTCAGTCAACTTTTGAACGGTAAAAAATCGAAGCAACCCTCTCAGAGAGTTTTATTTTCTAGACAATGAAAAAGCTCCAGAGTGCTCTGAGATCCACAAATATAGTTGTCACTTCTACAAATAAGGTTCGGTTTATAAGAATTTAACTAGACTAAAGGACTTCGGTTATGAAACTGCCTTACAAAACATCAGTAAATTAAATGACCACATTTGGAAGATTTACAAGGTCTTGCACCAAGAGGTTAAATGCGCTACGAATACCAGTGCAGCGTGTATTCCTTTAGTGAAATACAGTGCAATTATGTGCAAAAGTATGTTAAAACGTATACCCCTAAACAGAGTCGATTACCTAGAGCTAAGACTTTAAGATACGTAGTCTGCATGGCCTTTAAAAAAACTTTGAGAAAGAGATTATATTAGAAATAACTTTCCTGAAAACATTAATTTTGATTCTTCATTAAGCACCATATGAATATTTCAAAACAGCTACATCATTTTCTCAAAGCTTGTAGAGGCTGGATCTACAATGGAAGATTTCAGGAAAAACATCCAAAAACTAAGTGGAAAGCACAGCAAACAGATTTACATGAACATCTGGTCACAAGAATGCGGATAAACTACATCCTCTTCTAAATACAAAGGCTGAAGGACTCCATTGAAAACAAAGCAGCACAATATGACAGTTCAACAGGAAACATCGATTTTGGTGGTCACTTTCAATCTGGAATGTGAACGGCGTACCCCCCACCCGCACCCCTTACCCAGCGGTACACAAACCTAAACACAGCTCCATACTCTATGCACAAGACACACAAGAACAATCTCTAAGACCAAAGAAAGCAGATTGAAGTAAAATCGCTGAAGGTCTCTACAGTCATTCCTGCAGCTCTTACTACACACTGACTTGCGCAAGAGATTAATTTTCCCTACTCTGGATGGCTTCACAGTCTCAGAGTTCGCTAGCCCGCACCTCAGCACAGCTCAGCCCTGGGAGAAGCTACATCTTCGGACAGTTTAATTGTGGCGCGCTAGCCAGAGCCATGCTCAGCTGATATTCCACGTCTAGTGGCTTCTACCGATATTTACAATGAGGTGGCATCTTCACGCCAGAATGACTGGAAATTGGGATACTTGGTCACTAAATATCATTTTGGATCCCTACGTACATTCTTACCCCACTTCCATTAGCGAGTTAGTCTCCAAACACAGATAATCTGTGATTCTTTTTCAGGTGTCCTCACATGCAGAAGTCCGTCCTTTATCAGATAAGCAGACACCAAAAAACTACCCTCTGATGTTGGATGGACTTAACAAAAATAGAGTGGTAGTCCAAAAGACTAGCCTTGGTAGGCTGGAGGTGGCATTTTTAAATGTGCCGGCAAGATTTACAAGCCTACGTTTTGCTCAGATTTTCAAAAGTGCTAAGGACAAAAAACCACAGCAGAATTTTCAAAGGAGCTCAGCTCCAAATGTGTCATCTACATGAGTTGTCTCTTGGCTGGCCTTAATTTAGACGACTAAAGTAGGGGCTGCTATAGAGCCCTGAATTTTTGAAAGATCTTGTCCCAGTGAGATTTTTCTATGATGATGTGTGTCACTATGATGCTGTTCAGCTATTACAAACTCAGATTTACAGATGACCTGGAACAGGGACTAGTGAAAGCTTATGCAGCTTAAGTTACAGAAAATAAACGTAGCACGTGATGCCAGTATCTTTTTGGGAAGTTGGCACTCATCAAGAACTTAGACCAGACCATTGCGAAACAAGTCTCTTTACCTTCTGCTGGTTTAAGGAATCACTAGTAAAACAACTTGTTTAAAAAGAAGCTTGTTTCTTCTTTCCTCATCTTACCCTATCAGGCAGTGAATTCTTAACTGCACTTGTGATATCAGAATCACCTCTCACGAGTAAATTGCAGCATCACTATAGGACTCCTGTTTCACTGTAGGATGAAACAGATAGAGAAGCTGAATTGTTCTTTTTCAGTATGTACAATAAAAGCACAAGGTATGCAAAAAAACTTAAACCTGTTTAAATCAGAGGGCTCTTTGTTTTTTAGGTTTCATCTATTGTTTGCCAAGTGTAAAGTCTTCACAGTAAAACCCTCAAGAAACACGGTCTTGTTAAGTGGGAGGAACTGCTCGTTCTTTGTCAGCCACGTCTGTCTACAGGCTTCTGATCTACCACTTACTCCAGCTAGAAAGATACATACAATTTGCCTTCTCATGAAATACTTATGAACAGCATAGTAGAGAAGCATTAACAGTCTTATTTCACAGTATATTTCAGTTTTGTCTCTTCATTAGGAAACAGTAGGTTACCCATAAGCAACAGGCTTTCTGTTGGTGGTGCGTTTTCTTCTAAAGCTTCCCAGCTTGATTTTTAATAGCTTGTAACAACTTGCTACTGGAAAGCTAAAAAAATTTCACCTCCTTTGAAAACCAACCTTCATCTATCCCAGCAAAGAAACAGGAGGTCCACACTGGAGTTTAAAAGAAAATAAAATACTTGGATAAATTCACACGACAACATAAACCATGAGAAGGATCAGCAAAGACTAAAAGAAAATATAGAAAAAGAGAAAGAAAAGGATTTACATACAAAGAGGCTAGTAAAAAATTTCTGAGATTTCTTACCCAATAGGTAAAAATAAAAAGGGTATTCGGAGCTCTTTTATATGTATAGCTCAGGTATTTATATTTAACTGCTCCTCAGCTACACCAGCTGTGAATCTGGCTATTTAATCTACCAGAGTCAGAATTCCCAAGTAACCTGATTGACAGCTTTTAACTTCTGCTGTAAAAAGCTGAAGAGAATCGGGCAGTTCACTTAGTCTAAACCGAGAGACCAGGACATGAGACACCATAATGCGTGCTTAATATTTCTTAAGCCAAGACTACTAATGTCTAAATGACATTAAAGACATATCGGAAGATCTGTAGTCCAAGCTCTTGCGAGAGGAAGATGCAGTGAAAACAATTGAGAAAGAGAAGCTTGTTCTCCAAATACCTCCAATTAAGGACATGTGAAATACATTTATTCTTACTGCCTATGCTTTCATTAGCACCATATTTTTGTTATCCTGGTTTGTCTGCCCGGTTTCCAGGTCAAATCCAGTCTAAGCAAACATTTAAGGTTTACAATTTAGATAATACTGTCCTAATACAGAAGGATCACAACTTAGTTTAGAAAAGTCCCAAGGTAATGGATGAAAACTACATTCCTTTTAATGTAATCTTCAGAGAGAAGATGGTGCCCCTTTCAGATCAGGGATTAAGGACCACGACAACATTATTTCAAGAAACCTGTTATCAAAACAACACAGAGATGTTCCACCTGCAAAATCAAAACTAGGAGGCAGAGACACCACTGGAAATTGCTCAAGTACAACCTCTGTGAACCTCAGAGAGAAGATTCTTCAGAGATTTCTGGTGCACAGCACTGAAAAGTATTAAAAATTCCAATTCTCCCCACTCAGTTCTATTAAAAAACAGAATAATAAAAACCAGCACAGTCTCACTAATTGGGCAAAACAGCAATTTTCTGTTGCAGACCAACCAGTGTCAGGGAGATACTTTAAATGCTCCCGCTCTGTTCTCACTGCTACATAAGTGTTTCTCGGTCTGATAAACTCCTGTGGATTTCCTGCTTGTCATCACCATCAGCATCATCATCATCAGCTGGATCGTTTTCCTCTCCAGACTCCACATATATGGGCCAATCGTTATCAGCATCACCCTTTTCTTGGCCTTCTGATGAAGGTTCCATTAGGCTGAGGTTAATGGGCATTGAGTCCTCGTGCGTAGTGGTCACGCAGGTGCAGCTGTCGCACAAGCCAAAGCGTCGTAATCCTTGAGACAGGCTACTTGTGAATGTTCTCCTGCAGCCTTTACAGATAATGGGCTTGTTTGATCGGTGCACCTGAAGTCCAAAATAAAACACTATGGTAAAAAAAGGCAATCTGCCTTCTTGCTTTAGCTCTTTCTGGGGTGCTAGTTTGCATGTATTCCTAGAACAGAAAAGCATCTACAATTAAGCTAAAGGGCAGATGATCCCATCACATTTCCAGTGACAAAGATTTGGGGCTACATAAGTACGAATGAACCAAATATCAGTGGCTTAAACTTATTATTAGAAAAGTTTCTCTCACATTGGCAACAATCATTTTGTCCAACACATTTTGGGAAATACGATTGGGAAACGCCCAAAACTTTTAAAAATTTCCTGATAGATACAATCTTTTGAACTTACACTTAAAGCATGACTCCGAAGGTGTTCCTGCCGCGTGAAACGTTTCCCACACGTCTCACAGGGGTAGGGTCTCTCACCTGTGTGAGAGCGAATGTGCCGTTTTAGTATTCCTTTCTGCTTAAAAAAGAACGGACACTTGTGAAGCTTGATTGGCACAACTAACACATCACCTTTTGGAAAAAAAACACAAGGCATTAGATTAGGCAGTTCACCAACATTAGCTATGTTGGCTTCTTATCCTCCTTGCTGCAAATCTGAGTCAAGATAATTGCACTTTCCCCTCTCGTTGAGTTTGGCTTACCTGGAATGTCTGTAGGTTGTGCAATTTCAGAAGACATTCATGCAGCTGCAGATGATCAAGTCCATTGAAAAGCAGCCTGCCTATACTCACATGGCTGATACTCTAAGGGAGTTGGCTCACAGCAGAAAACCAAATTAATGTTATTTTCAGAAGCCATTTAATTAGGTCCCAAAAATTTTATTTTAGTGCAGTAGGGTCTCTGCACTCTCTCAGCCATAGATACTTTCTTTTTTTTAAGATACCATTACTGTTAAACAGCATGAGAAACTAAAATATTTAACAGAAATTGCAGGTAGAAGTAGTGCAATGTTTACCATGTGCTTTTACAAAGTGCATAAATTTAGGTGTGGGGAACCCATCTAAAAATATGCATGCTTGTTTCTACTGCCATTCACTTTAGCCTTTCTATTGGTAATAACAAGATGAAGGACTCCAATACATGTGCTGATAGTATTTTACTTTTCCTAAAATCAAACTATATGCACGCAAGTAATACGTAATTTATGGTCAGATGCAAAAAGAGAGAACTAAATTTGAAGATCACATTTTACATAAACATGGGTATTGCCAAGTTTTTCAGTATCAGCCCAGATCGGAGCTTGCTTTCCAGCAGAAAAGTTGAGAGGTTATACTAAAAGATTAGTTTTCCCTCTTTCAGGTACTGGTTCAGGGGAGTGTTTGCATATCAAGCCTTAAGCTCTTTAACAGTTACACCAAAGCAGGTGGGGCTGTAGAATGTTCCTTCTACTAAGGTTTGTCAAATCCAGTCTCAAAAAAAGGAGTGTCTAGTATTAACATGTGACTATCAAGTGAAATTAGTCTCACCCAATTTTGGACCTTCACAAGGTATTGCTAATCCCGCTGGACATTTAGAGCTCTGTTTAAAAAAAAAAAAAACCAGTTCTTAGACTTGCATTGCTTCTCTAGAGATGCCCGTTTACGCTCCATCAGCTGTGAAGGGGACTAGGATGACTGCAACAGATGTGGACACTTGAAAGTAAATGGCATTTATCTCATCTGTCAGCCTGAATGCACGAGAGAACCATTCTTTTATCAGGACTTTGTATTTCTCATTCCTGGTGTCTTGTGAAAATGCTAACACAGCAGGACCACTAAAAGCTGAGAAGAGATACTTCCATTCTACTAAATGCTTACAATGTCCAGTTTTAGCAGAGAAACATAACCGAATGCAAGGTTTGGGTTTTTTTACCGACTATTTAAAGCACATCCAGCATTAACATTTCTAATATGTTGTCATAACACCCTTTTGTTCTCTATCAAATTCTAGAAGCATAATGATTCATTACCAGTCTGAAGATTTTAAGAGAGAAAAAAGTAAGCGAAGTTTGTGTGTTAGATGCTTTTGCCTTGCTACATGTCAAAAACCACAGGCAGGATCTGGTGACAGCACACTGTTATGATAACTTTAGTCTTTTGGTGACTGTTAAGACTGGATTTGTGATTTTATCAGATTCCTTATATTAAAGCAGTGAGAGAATATATTGGTTTTATTGGCTTTGAGATCACACATGCATGCTTGAGCTGGAAATAACATGAATGTAAGCTTGCTATCTAGAGTAGAATATCCAGTGAAAGATTTCCTGTCTGTTGCTCACACCATTATTGCCTTTGTCACATCCTGAACAGCTACGGCACTTGCAGCATTTGTCAGAGCCACCTCCCGTCTTCGTAAGGCAGTTTGGATGACACAGGCTGTGTGCCAACACTACCGTAAGCAGATAAAAATGCCCAAATCCTTATTGTCCCCTTCAGGAGAAACACATATGGACATGACCATCTTCTTCTCCAGGTTCCTGACACTGCTGCTGGGAGATATTCCTGCCGGCATGAGACATCCCAACAGGCGCTGGGCTTGGGAAGGCAGTGGAACCTCAGGTGACCAGCAGGTGAAAGCCGAGTCCGCCTCTAGAGGTAAAAGTTAAGTCTCGTCTTTAGGCAATACCACAGAGTTTAAAGCTTTCAGTGCTCTTGACTAGGTATCACTTGGTATTAAATAAAACTGATTTCTGCCCTTCTGAAGTTCAAAGTAAGTACAGCAAACAGACTATCATCCAGCAACTGATGCGCTGGCAGGAGCTCCAGTGGAATAAGCTACTTCTGCTCTGTCAGGTTCTACAGCAGATCCCTCTTGTGGCAGCTCAACTTATCTTTCTGATTGCTCTTTGTAACACTAACGTTGTGAGAGGAAGGTTCTTTTTAAAAATTCGCCTGCCATTCAACAAGGTCCCGAATGAGACTGTTTATTAAAGCAGCATCACCAACAGCAAGCTCCAGCATCTGTTTCAAAAAGACGACTGTGAAAGCTGTTAGAAATACTTACCTCCCAAATGCTGCACTGAATAAATGAGTACAGCTTTCTTTTGAAGTCCAGAACAATAGTTTATTTTGCTACGGTATAATATTCAGCAATATATTCCTGAACAAGAACAAGAGTAACAAAGGAAGTCACACAACTAAGCAGTTTCCTCCTCCATTATACAGACTACACCCCCCTGGAGTCCTCTCACCTGTGTCCTCACCATACCAGTCGCTGTGAATGTCCATCATGGAACTCATGGCTACCCCTGCATCCTCTGGCCTACCCTCAAAGCCCCGGACAAAGTGATGAACCACATCATCCTTTCTCTGAGCTGAGCTGTTGCGCAACAGGGCCTCTAGAAATTGTTTCATATGATAGTTATTGCAGGCCAGGTCCATCGCCTGCCCGCCATGCAGTCCTTCTTCCATCTGCTCGAGGGACAACGGAGGTGGATACTGTGGCAGCCGTTCACCCACTTCTACCTCTACTTCATCCGAGTCAAACTCTACTTTGGGTTCCACCCCCTTGGGCAGTGAAGAATTAACATCGTCTGGAGAGTCGCTGCTTACGGGGTCTCTGACCACGAGCTCCAGGGGATGGCAGCTGCTGCATTCACCGCAGGGAGGGTCTCTCTGGCAATCCAAAATCCTTTCCTTTTCCTGCAGGGAAGAGACAGAGGCAGAGCACTGGCTCTTTGAGCTGTATGAGGTGCCCTCTCTCGCAGAACTAGCGCTCCCACTATCAGCCTGATAGAAAGCGGCCTCTCTCTCTATTTTCCTGCAAATATCTAACGATGACCTTATATACGTTTTGCAGAAGTTGACCACATCGGTCATCTGCAAATAGCTAGCCGCAGACATCACCTCGATAACATTTTCCCCGCAGAGATCTAGCTTCCCGGAATAAAGGAAATCTAGGATGATGGAGAAGGCCTCCGAGGTGACAATGTCCAGAGAGGCGGTGCTGTGGCGTCCGCTGTCTTGGATGTAGTGAATCAGCAGGGCTCGGAAATAGCCGCTGTTGGCGAACAAAATGTTTTTGTGCGCTTTGAAGATCCTGCCCTCCACGATAATGCTGCAGTCGCAGAAGAAGTCCCTCTTGCGTTGCTCGTTGAGCTCTCCCAAAAGCTTGGTGTAGTACGACTGCATCTCCATTGCT